ACCTTAAAATAATTAAAACATTGTTACTATGCTATTTATATTATAATTGTTCTATTTTTAATTAATACGTACCTTTGTATAGCACAACCCATTATCCGTTAAATAATCATCTTGTTTTAATTCGTCCATTTCAATACATACATCTGAAAAGGCTGCTTGATTATAATAATTTGGAGATGCACAGATGATCACTCTATCATTATCCAAATAAGCAAAATCAAATACTTCGATCAAGATGGTCTTATTTTTAATATCATATGACGTCCAATTTTCGATATTTTGAAAATAATCGTAAATGCACTGTTTAAGCTGTTTAAAACCATGCGTCCATAAATTATCTGCATTTGATAGCTGGTTTATAGCCTGATTGATGATATGTTGAGTTATTTGCTTTATAACTTTGTTTGAAGTGATTCTGTTAAATGATTTGTTACTAGATCCTGATCGAGACTTTAAAACGAAAGACATAAAGATGTTTTGAGAGACACCTTAAAAAATTTGTTTAAAAAAATATTATTAAGATAAATTAACACTATATTACATAAATAAAAATAAACCAAGATATTATTGTATACATTAAAAAGATAAAAAATACTTACGGTCACTTGCATTTGTTTATTTATATAACATTTGTTTGTCATGCGGTACGGTTGTTTGACATTAGTTTTATGTAACAACTCGTATGTCTCAGTTGTTAATCTATTAATAGCTCCGAATTGACAAATTGACAGTATTAAATGAAACCGCCAGCTATGTAATTTAGGTATATTTAAGCTTGATCACGAAAATTTAAACATCAACTTAATAAATAAGTTACTTCATATGACAATTGATTTCTGTAAAAAAAAAAAAAAAAAAAAAATTAAATAAAATAAATAAAAAAATTAAACTAACGAACTTACTTCGAATTTGTCGAGGTCAGATTTGGTAAATTTAGGCTGACGACTCCATATGTATATATCAATCCATAAATAAAAAAGGTCACATAAACTTTTATTAAGTTTTTTGTCAACGATTAGCTCATCTTAGACAAATAACATTATTTTCATTAAATTTCTATATTCAGCTGCGGTCAACCGATTAAATCTCTCAATTCTATTTTTAAAAATTTTAAGTCTTGGGTAATGCAGAATTTAAGTAAGACGTTTCTCAAGAATCTTGATTGCACTATTACTATATCTTAACTTTAATAATTCAATAGTAAATCGTAACTGATATTGAAATAACCCAAGGTTTGCGTAATGCATACGATCGGGCACACACATCGTATAAACATCAAAATACCTACCAATAGATTTGTTATTAATTATTATAATTTCAACATGTTTTCTTTAGATCTATAGAATTACTTACGGTTGCTGCCATAAGGCATTTTCATATGGTGAACCGAAATCTGCTTACCAATGCCCTGACACAGAGAATTTTTGGTTGTGTTCTCGTTATAGATAATTAGATTTTCCTTTTTAAGATTAACATTATTTATTGTATCATGATCGACCAGACAGAAATAGCATGAATGTAAAGAATTTGGAGATCTGTAAGTAGCACACATTGCACACGCTTTAGGCCAATCTGAGATTATAAGCGCCAAATATGGAAAAAACCATTTAAGACTACTATTGATATACAAATGAATACCATTATTACTTAAAGACCTTAATGGTCTAAGAATTGTTGCAAGTGCACGATGAAACAGTCTTCACGCTGCTGATCTAAATGGTGCTGCTTGTTTTTCAGATGCAATACAATAATCAAAACTGGGAAGATAACCGAGCAAAATTTTAGCATCAATCTTGTTATGACGTGCTAATAGAATATTGCCAAGTGTCATGAATACAGGATGTCTCGATGCCTTGCCTAAATGATTGCAGAGAGTAGCGTCTGAATAGAGAATGATTGGCATAATATGTGCTCCCATTGGAATATTCTGTTCGATATTTTTTCACCAGTCGGAATCGTATATATCTGAATACTGATACTGACCAGATACCTTCAATTGTAAAAGTTAAAAACAAAATAATTAAATAAATTAAATAAATTAAATTAAATAAATTAAAATAAAATAAAATACCGTATTGTCGCGAAGTAACGCGCAGGTGTGAAATTACAAATTTTGGCCTAAATTAAGCCTAATTCGGGCTATTATTCTAAATAATGCCTCTGCGCGTTATTTCAGCGACAATATGGTAAATTAAATAAATTAAATAAATTAAATAAATTAAATAAATTAAATAAATTAACTAAATTAAATAAATTAAATAAATTAAATAAATTATGATAACTAAATTAAATTAATTAAATTATTAAATAAATTTGCTTTATTGTCGCGCAAAAAAAAAGGTTCCAAATTGTGGCATCTATGCAGTAAATTTTAATTGAAAAATTAACACTGATCAAAGTAATTAAATTTAATTATATTGTCAAAAGATGGTTTATAATTAAATATGAATTCTTCTGTGATACTCTTGTTGATTAAGAGTTGGCATATTCTATCGAGTACTGTTCTAAACTCAAGCATATATTCCAACCCTTCATATTCGAAAATAGTTTCTTTTCTCCAACCAAAGTTTGGAAGATTAAGATCTTCGATAAATGCCTGCCCACTTTGTGATGTCGATGGTAGTGGATGATCATCGTGATTAGAATACTTGTTAAAAAATCGTATAAAGGCATTTGCAAGTGTATCTTGTACATGAAACTTTGTTACAATATGCATAAATTCTGCATATTCTTCTAAAGGAAATACTTGGTATATGTCCTCAAGATCGTTTTGTCTTCCAGTATACAAAGCATCATATTCAATATATTCGTTAACATCTACATCCGTAATGTCTGATAGATCAGACTATTCATCCGATATATTACTTTGAGAATCACTATCGCTATGATCAAAGAGTTCAACACCCTGTTCTTCAATGGATTCATCTGATGTATTA